TACTTTGACACTTTGTCCAATTTTGTGCACTACTGACTGATCAACAAGGAGAATCACCTCACTGGTGGGTCTCCATTGCCCCTTCCCGACAGGGGCACAAAAAACTCTGGACATGTTTAAACACAAAGGCACAAGCTCTCAGCAGCTACCAGCAACTGCCAGACTTGTTAAGTCTTGCAGGTAATGCTTTTCAACTTCATAATCAGCAGCAAAGTGTAAAAGGTTTTGAATTAAGAAACTTAAGAACTAACCATATGACACCTCTATTTTTCCTCCTGGCTAATCAGTTTCAGTTCTCTGTCTCCATTCTACCTGTAATAAATCTAAAACCCCAAAGTGAGTAACTTAAAAGTGTTTGGTTTGGTTTTCCTCCTTTCACCTACAAAACATTTTATCCTCTGAGGCAAATGAGAATCACTGGCGTGCAGTGACACAATATTCAGACTCTTTGTAGCAACAGAACAAGTGTAGCATCCACACAAATCAAGGACTTTCAGAAGACCTTTCATATCTCCAACCCAGCCTTTCTCCAGTAAATAAGTAGTACATGATAAAACAACACACAACACTCTACTCAATACATTCAGTTATGCTTTTCTTTTTTAATCTCTCAGGAAGTGCTTGTCAGCTTGCTACATCTTGAAAGACCTCAAGTATGAGGCCACTAAACCACGATTGATCTTATCTCAGAAAGTTTAGCTTTTAAAGAAACAGTAAGCGCAGATCCCCTTCCCTTAATATTAGAGTGTTTCCCATCCCATCAGGGAAAAAAATTATAAATTCTACACACTTTGCTTCAGTTTTCCTCCAAGTCTTAAAAAAATATTAAAAATGAACATTAATTGGGATTGGGAGAGAAAGTACCATGTAAGATCCCTGACCAGGAAGACACAGGAAACCACAGAATACTTACGTAGAAAACCATCAGACTTATTACGTACAATTTCCCATCCTTTATCAGCCACTGCTAAGATGGGCTGAATTTTACTGTTGTGTTTGTAATGCAATCTGTCTGGAATCTGCTCCTTTTTATAAACAGTCATGTTGGGATGAGCATTGGCCAAAGCTTCATATACTTCATCCAGTTTGCCTTCAAACAAAGAAAAGAAGCAAAAGACAAAAGTGAAACATACCAATATGTTTACTGAAGTCATCAGTAGTTTAAATACTGCTGAAAGAGGAGAGCAAAACACACTTTCCCAAAAGTTGTAAGAGACAACAATGTGTGCACAGAGGTTACTGTGAGAAATCCAGAGCATCATTCACAGAAAGATCTCACCTGGCACCAGACTTCACAGTCTGTTCCCAAGCAATAAGCTAATTTTAGGGAAATCCCTCATTCCATAGTAATCAGAATGTAAGCTTCTCATAGGAATGAGCCAGAAGGCATTCAGCTAAGTCTCCTGGAAAAGGAACCAAATCCTCCTAGCACCATGCAAAACTTGAAAGTAAGAATATAGCTCCTAACCTGTTTATGAGGCAATAGGCCCTATTCTGTCTGTCCCCCAAGGTGGTTGTGATGACAAGTGACACTTTTAATTTATTTTAAAGCAGTTTAACCGCTATTTGCTTTCCTTTAAAAGGCCAAAGATAGAAGACACTTTGTTTCTTGGCGTCTCTGAAAATTTAGTTCTGTGTGAATCCAACTATTTACTTCTCCCTCTACAAGATGCTCTGATAAACAGCTCTGTATTTGACCTCACTTGATTCCCAGTTTTGGTAACATTTGATGACCATTTTGATGGCAAGTTTAGCAAATTTAGAAGGAGTAGCTGGTGTGTTGCTGTGCTCCATGTACCATGGCAGAATTAGCACCTCATTGCCTGGGGCTAAGCACAAGGAGCTCACACTTATCCTTCATCTGAAGCCTTCAGGCCACAGTCCAGATGCCGCTAACGCTGTCAGAGCTGTACAAAGACTGCAGATGGCTAAGCAGGGAACACATGTCAAGCACACCAAGGGACAGGTTGGTCTGGCAGATCAAGGTGGCACTAGAACTGTCAGCCAACTGTATTCCGTAACAGCTAACAGTGCTACCTACTCCTCTGTACTCCCAGTGCCTGCTCCTTTCCCTTCCCTATCCATCTATGGCATAGTGACTGCAAACACTCAAGAGCTGTACTAACAGTACCAAACAAATCAGCATTTTCAACGCCCAATTCTTCATTTGCTTATTTCCAGTTTCTGAGCTTGTCTTTCCAGTAAAAGTCACTTAAGAGCCACAACCAGTTGGACAAGCTGCACAGACAGGAGGAACCAGAGCACACAGACAGAAATACAAAAACAAGTTCAGGAATTGACACCTGAGCAGATTTCTTCAATCCTCCCCTTCACCTGAGGACAGATTCCTATTGAGGGTTATGCAGTGCAGTTATGCAGGGTTATGAGCTCCCAGACTTGGTTAAGTACTTTGTGCTCCATGTGCACAATCCAGTCAGACAGCTGAGCGTGCAGCCTGTCTCTGCAGGCCTGCCTCATCCTACCATTTCCAGCATGCATGGAGCTTGGAATGTACCTCTGAGAAAAAAAGTTTGGGAGGAGATGCCCAGTAAAGAAACCATGTTACTTTCCCTCCTCACTTCCTAGATTCAGGATTGAAATTCTGAAGGAAAACTGGAAAGACATCAATGCAAAATGTTTCTTATCTCAAACTGGCATAAAAAAAAGAATCACTAAACTTAAGAAACGTGATAAAAGTGATGACAGCAAAAGTACAGATATGATAGTTACAGCAACAAGAGCAACTCCAACCTAGCATTTCTACAACTATATTAGTAATTGAGTTAATTTTGTTATGCCACTTTTCTTTATGGGATGACAGGGAGTAGAAGCCTCAAATAAAGCAAATTTTGATTTTGCACTAAATTAAATATTTGAATTAATGTATTTATATTAAATGCAGGCAAAAGGCCACAATCACCAGCTGTGCTACAGGTACCTTAGTTACATACACAGATTAATACACCAACAAGGTTAAATAATGGCTTTAATCCATCTCTTGGGAAGAGACACGCAGCCAGTTAAAGCAAAAGAAACAGGATAACAGTTGAAGAATCAGTCTCATGTACTTATATTTCACAGCTAAACTGAGAATGAAGCTCATTGTTTTATAATATTAGTCACAGCTGGTAACACAGAAGGAAGAAATTTTAGCTGTCCTCAAAACTAATTCTCGTTTATTAGTAGTTGTCCTGGTTCCGGCCAGGACAGGCTTAACTTTTGCAGCAGCCAGGAAGGGCACACTACGACCCTGGGGATATTCTGTACCACCTCACATCATGTGGAGGAGAGGGAGGGAGGGTGCCCTCTGTTGCAGTGCCAGTTTGGTCGGGGCGGTGTGTGCGCTGGGGCAGCGCTGGGCTCTGCGCGGTGACCCATCGTATCTGAGTCGTTTGCCTGCCTTGTACAGTCTTATTATTAGAGTGGCTACTGTTCACTGTCTTACTTCACTGCGGTTTCTCAGTAAATTGTTCTTATCTCAACCCATGATCTTTACCTGTTGTGTCTCCAGTTCCCTCCATCCTGATATGGGGGGAGAGGGTGAGGGAGTGACTGGCGCATGGTCTGGGGGATTTCAGTGGAAACACTAAACTGGGGAATACCACTCCTGAACCATGACAGAGTGTAATAAATACCTGAACTTCTGGGCAAAACCAAATCCAAGCTATTTCTGAAATCCACTGAAATGGCTTTTTTACTATTCTGTCATCTAATTGCTGCAGAGATACTGTTTCTTTTCGATATTTAGCAGACAGGAGAATCAAGTTACACATCCTCAAGTTCTCATTAGGGATGTTTCAGCACTAAAGAACAGCAAATAAAGAAGCTGTAAAAGTAATGAGAACATCTTGGTCAACCATGTTTGTCTCCATTAGGATGGAGCTCCCAAACTTGGTGCTTTTTATCACCACTGAGAGAAAAAGCATTCAGCCACGAGCTCCTGAGCGTGCTCAGGCAGCAATAATCTCAGTCTGGACATACTTGTATTTTAGTCTAGAGTATTCTTCAAACTGAAAATTACAAGACACATTTGTTTATGTGTTTAAAAGGTCACTTAAGTACACAATACCCTCCCTGTTGGGGCATTACATACAGAGTGCTATGCATTAGCCATGCAAATGTTACAGAATTCTTAAAAAAACCCTTTTCTGACAGTCAACTCAACTTCCAAATAAGCACCTTTTGTGTGGGCAGAGGTGCTATTTTCCAGGTTAATCTATCTGTACCAAATAGTTACAGCATTTGATCATCACCTCTGCATTAGTGACACTAAACATACAGCTGACACTTTAGCAACCCTTCAATAACTGCAACCAGACTTCAGATTTTGATTCCAATAGTACTCTTGCCCATCATTTTCACAACAGAAATGGTATGAACATAACTGGCTGGGTGTGCAGGGTGATGGGGAAAAACCCTCAAGTGAACTACAATAGCTGGCAGCTAACCAAATAGCCAACACAGGCTTTCCTTTTATCAAAGATCCCCATCTGTTCTCAGTTTACTGTTTGAGTTAGAAATCCAATTCTTCCACTATGGCTCCAGCATCTTGATGAAAGGCAAGATATGTAACATTCAGGTGTTACCTATCCTAGAATGCTATTCAGCCTTGATAATGCTGTTAGATTATCTGAGTTCTCACAAGGACTAAAGGATCTTTGGCAGTATTAGTCAACAACAGACAGATCTGCTCCCTTTTCAGTTCAGAAAGTTAATCTGGGCTTTTGATTGAGCTAGTAAAAAGAACAAAGAAGTGATCTTGCAAGTACTCCTTGTTCAAGGCTGCTGTCCTACTGACATCAGTGCTACTTACCACCACTTCAGTTAAGGAACAACATCAGGTTTGGATACTCAAGTATCTCTTTACAGGGTTTTACCGCTGTAGCTCCTACCTTCTTTTGGCAAAATGGCTACTGCAGGAGAATGGTCAATGACTTTATAGAGCTCTCTGTTCACATACTGATCGAGCTCGATGAGCCTTTCCGACGACGACTGTGACATTCCATGATCACTTGTGATTATGATATTTATCACATCCCACAGCTTCACTTTCTTCAGCTCAGTCATGAGATATCCCAGTTTTCTGTCAATATCTCTAATTATTTGTCCCATAAGTGGGTTTTCTGGGCCCAGAATATGGCCCATCTCATCAGGCTGTTCCCAGTACAGGAGACCAAAGTTTATGGGTTCTTCTGCTGTAAACCAGTCAATAAGCTTTGCAACTCTGTCTTCAAAGGGAACAGATTCATTGTAGGGCATATAATGTGTAGGCAAGACTCCATGTATTTTCACATCTGTTCCTGGCCACATAGCTGCACCGGTTTTGTGTCCTTCCCTCTGGTTCGTTACCCATATTGGGCTGGCCTCTTCCCAGAACTTGGAGTTATGGGTCTGCATTTTGTTCAGGGAGAAAGTTTCATTCAGAACAGGATCATACATCTCATTAGCTACTATGCCGTGACTTTCTGCATAGAGACCAGTCACCATGGTGTAATGATTAGGGTATGTTTTTGTTATAAACACATTAGTGACCTGTTTGACATGAACCCCATTCTTCATGGCATAATGAAAATTGGGAGTTGAGACTTTATAGATGTAATCCCATCGAAATCCATCAAAAGATACCAGAAGCACTCTGGGCTGGGCTGGCTGGACAGACAGTACACTTTGAAGAAATAGTAAGAAAATTCCCAGCACTTTCCAGTAACAGCTCATGATTATTCTGGAAGGTATCTGTCCGCTCCTCTGAGGCAACATGGCATCTGTTGAGCAGAGACAGAAGATTTGCTTGTGTTAAACAGTTTGTCAAACTCATAACTTAGTTTTAGGAATGAGCAGCTAAAATATTCCTATGTATTTAAATCTTAGAAGATATATCTCACAAGAGCATGCCATGATGGGACAAGTGGGAATGGCTTCAAACTAAGAGAGCAGGTTTAGACTGGATATTAGGAAATAGTTTTACACTGTGAGGGTGGTGAGGCACTGGCACAGGTTGCCCAGAAAGGCTGTAGATCCCTGGCAGTGTTCAAGGCCAGGCTGGACAACCTGGTCTAGTGGAAAGTGTCCCTGCCCATGGCAGGGGAGTTGGAACTAGATAACCTTTAAGGTTCCTTCCAAGCCAGGCTATTTGAATTTTAGATACAGCAGTAAATTCATGAATAGGTTTTCCTGCTTAAAACATGCCAGATCAAGAGTTGGGTAAAGAACAGGTACATCAATTTCCC